GCCTCCCCGCTAATAAACCCCCCGAAAGGCCGCACCGAGGCTTTCAAAATGCCCGACGGTGCCCTTTTCCCTTTTTTAATGCTTTCTTCCCCAAAATAAAACCTAAAGCTACTGCAGCGGAATGGCAGGAAGGGCTCTTTCACGCCGTGCTGGCCCAGGGGCTGTTCCTGGCTATCTCCTTCGGGGTTTTGACAGTCAAGAGGAATGACTCACTGGCGTGCAGGACTGGGTCGGTGCCAAGCGCCATAGGATGTACCGTACTTTAAAACGACTCCTTGCAGTGCTTATAAAGCAGCGTCAAAATTGTGCAACTTTTTGGCTCGGTTTTGAGGTCCGAAAAGATCATAATCGGTGGCATGTGCCACGCTTGCACCTTCATCATGATAAACGTATTTTAGGGTGATTTACTGGAGAAGTGTGAGTGGCGGGGGAAGTGGCTTCTGGCCCCAATGTGTGTGTTGAGAGGAATTGTTATTTTGGCAGCTCTTAATGAAGAGACTATAAATACATGTTTATATGTAGCTTCTAAAATCGTGGTTATTTTGAATTTGGTAACAGAAAAACCAAAACAAGAAAAAAAACCAAAAGAGAAGTAGTTGCATGACCTAGGAGGCTGGAAAAACATGGCCAACTCATTTCCAATAAAAAACCTGCTTCTTCGTTTGGTTTTTTGGGGTTTTTTTAAACTTTTCAAATTGGACAAGAGGAAGAGAAGTGGGTCCCTGTCTCTGGGTTTGAGAACACGGGGTCAAACCTAACCCAATTCAGTGGACAAAAATCTGGCGCTCCCCAGCCTTCATCTTGAGGCGAGATCCTGCTCCAAATGTGTTTTCCTGCAGGGCTCAGTGGAGAGGTGAATGTTGGTGTAAAACACTGAGCACTTGGCTCTGATGGTTAGGTGGGGGTTTTTTTCCCCTGACTGAAGGCTGCAGTTTGTTTTGGGAGTGAATTCTTCCATGTGCTGCTGCGCTGCCATGCTGAGGGAGGCTTCAGCTAATGGTTTTCATGTGTGTGGGAGCTCTTGGGTCAGGCCACCTCTCCTGGGGTCATATGTCAAGCCAGCAGCACTGTGTGCTTTGGTCCCTTGAAGGTTGGGAGTGCTGGTGACCACAGGGAGCTGGTACTCAACCCATTCCCGGGCCATTGAAAGCTTTTTTGTTGGGGTCTGGATGTGTTGACTTTCAGAGTCAGTGGTGCCTCATGGTCCTTACCTCAGTGCACATCCCTGGTGGCTCGCCTGGCGGCCGTGGTTGGGCTGTCAGGGTTTAGCGCAGGTCTTGGCTTTGTAGGGCATGGAGAGGTGTTTTAGGTAAGCCATGGTTTCCTCTGTAAGCTCCTCGCTTCCAGCCTTGCATTGATTGATAGCGTTGCTGAAGTCGGTGACTCATGGGTTGTTTTTTCATTTCAGTGGTGGGTGAAGTGATTTGATTTTTTTTTCTCCAATATATATGGTGTTAAAAGAAATAAGGACAGGCTCTTCTGATAAGTTTTCTCAAGCTGTCAGAACAATGGTAGTATAGCGCGCTATTTGCCCTAGATATCTGGCTTTAATTTGCATAGCTATTCTTGTTTCACTGAGTGCACTGTGAGCAAATGTTAACAGCCAGATTACAAAAAAAGGGACCACTGTCAGGATGCCTTATAGAATAACCCTCTTCAAGTAAATAACAAGGGTTTCTCCCCCTTCTTTTTGCCTTTTTTTTTTAGTAGTTTCTTAAGAACAGCTCAATTACACTTAGAGTTTTGAGGCAATTTATAAAAACGAGAAGGGAAGCAAACAGGACTTGGGATGCTGGAAACTCATCGGTCCCTTCAGAACTGCACCATTTCGGATCGATACTTAGAGGTCAGTTTGTCATTGCCAAGCAAGCGCCTCTTTCTGCATCTCAGCCTTTATTTCTGCTTTCCTCCTTGCCCCTTGCTCAGCCCGTGCTGCCTGCACGTTGCAGGGTGGGGGCAGAATGAGGATGCCAGGTCACAAATCACAGGCTGTGGTGCTGGACCTGAGCGCTGGGGCATTTCGGGCAGCGCCGCACCCAGAAGATGGGAGGCTGTGGGCGACCCTCTCCGAAGCCATCCTGGATGGGCTGCTGCCCGTGGCTTTTCCGCCTGTGAGGGGGAGAATGGAGCTGAGCCCTTAAAGTGATTCGGTTATGCCCGGAGGCTGCTGCCTGCTCGTTCCGATGCATGGTTCCAAGAAAGTCACAGGAAGTAATTAAATGGAAAAGGTCAGAGAACGAGGAAGTGTTGGTCCGCAGCCTTGCGCTGCTTGGGATGGAGCCCGATGCCCTGGCCGGGCTGTGTCCCGGGAGTGTCCCCGCCGCTCCAGTACACGCCTGGTTTATTCCAGTGAGCTGGGAGCGCTCCTGCCAAGTGTTTGCAAGAGGGACTGGTCCCTCGGAGGTTTTTAACGAGCTGGGTTAAGTGGCATATGTCTAGGGTTGCTGTGGTGGTGTGCAGGACAGCAAAATGTGGTGTGAGATCACACCGATGTATTTTTTCCTGTCTAAGGAAAGAAGATTAGACTCAGCTTGCTCTTGCTGGTTCTTTTGCCCATCCAGAAATCTCATTTCCCTTCACATCTGAGCAGACACCAGCGATGTTTGCTCTGAATTCTGAATCCATAAGTATTGCAGTTTGCCCTTTGTGTTGAAAAAAAATTATTTTCCCCCCTTCATTTTCACTACATTTATGCCCCATTCTGATGATTTTTCTGTAGGTATTAAAGGCAGCTCATTCAGCTAAATTATTTTGCTGCAAGTTTCAGCCAGGGAGGAAGGCATGGGACACACTGTGTTATGACATTATTGCTCGCAAATAGGACAGGAAATGAAGGATTGCCAAAATATAACTGTTTATTTCTTGGCCTGAAAACATGCCTGTTTAAAATATGACATGTAAGTAGCTGCTTTGTTCGGTCTCTGGGAGAAGTAGTTGTTTGTAAGGGAATAATAGATCTGTCAGATGAAGAAGGAGGGGGGGGGAAAGAATGGATTTGCCCTTTCTACTCTTTCTACTTCTGTTTTGGAAATGCTTGAAAAGAAGTTGTATGTTGAGGATGTATGGAGAGGGTGTTCGGTCAGACAACTGGAAGGAAAGAGGGTTGCCACAAGAGGAAGGGAGCACATTAGACCCTGCTATGGCCCATGCAGCCCATGGGTAATCCAGATGCAGCACTGAAAAGGAGAAACCAAACCAACCTGCCTTTGGGGCAGAAAGTGAGGGTTTTGGTGCAGCTGCCCTCCTTGAGGAGTGCGGTGGGACGGTGTTTGAGTGGGGCGCAGATGCTGCACCAGCACTGGAATCATCTTTGACCTGTTTTTGCAGCCTGTTTTTTTATCTCACTGAGGCACACCCTGGAGCGTGGGTTAAAAGGTAGGTTTTATCTACCTGTTTAATTAAATCCTGAGGCTGCAAACAAAAGTGCGTTGTGTGGCAAGGCTCACTCTTAACATGGGCTTGGTTTGCTGTTAGCTGGATTTAAACCACAAAATTGTTTCCTGTCGACCACCAAATTGCAGGGAGATGATGGTAGTTGTCCTCCTTCTTCAGGACCAGGCTGGAAAATAGGAGCTCAGGAA